GTTTCGATGTAATATTCAACAACTTTTTTTGCTGTGTACCGTCGAGGTTTTTGAGCCAGAAGTAGCAGAGCATTTTCCTGTGAACAGAAACTTTGAACAAAACAACGTAAGTTATTTTATCATATATTTGACTAAGTTCTAAAAATCTACTTCTTTACTCCTTCTAGGAAAAAGAAGAATATTCGACATCAGTGAACAGGGAATCACCTACTTTTCTGTCGCCAAGCCATCTTCGTACTTTTTTGGTAAAAACAGATTACGGAAAACAAGTGTTGAAAGAAGCGACAACGCATAAACTTTCTAACGCGGGTCAAAAGCTAGTCGTCGACACGGTTGCCGATTCCATTTATCTTTGGGACGAAAAACCACTGCAGAGTCAATAAACGACCTCAGTGAAGTCATTATTCGCGTTTTTTCCCAAAGAATCAAAGGTAAAACTTAGTGAGAATATGACATATACCACAAAAGATTTTTTAAATTTAGAGCATGAAGGTGAATTTAATGTTAACATCCTACAAACGAGACCATACTGTTTGAAAATCGCAAACGAATGCCCTTTCAATGTGAAAGAAAAGTTTTTTTGCACATTCGATCCAATTCAAAGGTTCACAATTTAAAATAGGTCAATTTATAACGATATCGTATCGGAAAGCGCATCGATCAAATTGTTAGAAATAGAAGAGTTTGTGAAAAATAGAGAAACAATATAAGCCATGTGCAGAAATTGGGAAAAAGGAGCATATGATGATCATTTATTAGCTTATGAAGCCGTAGAAAGATGTGATTCAATGTGTATTATTGGTATTAATGCAGTGATTGGATCTCCATTTTCTATTCATTAAGTGAAAAATCAGGATTAATAATGATTTTAACTAGATGTAGAGAATATTATTAATTTTAGTATTATCAATAAACCTATGTTGTTAATCAATTATATTCCAATGAAAGAACATTTAAGCCATAGCAAATGATTGAATATTTTCCAGCAAGAACTCATGAGTTGATCGAGCTTTGTCCATCCTTAAAATAAATGACGGTTGGATAAATTTCGATCAATTTATGAGCTTCTTGTGATAATTAAATTTCTATTAAAAAATAATTCATATAGCATACTAAAGAATATTATAGCAAGTTAAAAATGATATTCATAACTACGTATTATGATTTTAACAAGTAAATACGTATGTTATTCATAACACTTGAATATGATTTTCATAAGACAACTTATGAAAATCTTAAGTGGTATGATGAATAAATTCCCCTCCGAAGTCATAAGATAAACTACATGATGATTTCCATAACAGATCCTTTTGTCGTGAAGTCATAAGTGATTCTTATGGAATTCTTAAGTATTTTTGCCTCAGTGTAATGTTAGTGAAAATAGGGGTTCTACACAGAGATAAATTCAATGGTTGCACTGAAACAAAATTCAATGGCAAAAATACTATATTGCTGGTTTTAATTAAATTCCCTCACCAAAAGATTTTGGCAGAAAGCAATTTAATTTAATTTATAATTATTTCTATCAAAATTACTATGCATTTTGAGCAAGCATAGTAGTTTTTCCAGAATCATAGTAAATTTGCTTACATTCATAGTTAATTACACTGAAATCATAGTATATTGAACGGTAATAAGCGTGGTTATTAGAGTGATGCAAAATTTGAAATTTTCGCTCCACAATACTTAAACCACAGACAAACAGACATAACAGTCGCAAGTTGACGTATCGTAGTTGGTAGTACCACCACCTGTGGCGCGCATAGTCAATTCCCTTGCGTTTGACGTTTACACACTACCGCCATCTGTTCAGCGTACTACCCACCACACTGTACTCAACAGATGGCGGTAATGTTTTAGCTACGATGTTTTACAGTGAGAAATATTCAATGTGTTATGTCTGTTTGTCTGTGCTTAAACGATTCCAAATCGGATCCTGACTAACCTCTCAAAGTTTGAACTTATTTGGTGAGAGACTGAGATGGCACAAACCATTTGAAGTTTGTATGGGAATTACTATGGTAAAACCAAGATTTTTGTTTATGTCTATCTAATAAATAATATCGGTCTGCTTCAAAAACTTTCAACTGTACTTGTAGGAAATTTTCCCAGCTACAACTTTGCTCAACACCACTTTTTTATGAAATGCAAGGATCGAAAGTTATCAATGGTTCAATGCGCTGATGTCTTATGATCATGCTCAATCCACTGCTAAGCAGGCAACATTGGTGTTTCTGGGGCGTTGAATAGGACACAAAAATCATGGCTACTAGGTCACACTGCAAAATACAGTGTTGCGTACAGAGCAGCTGTTTGATCATGTCATAAGTTTACCAATCTCTTAAATAATTAATAAATTTTTCCTGTCTCGTTTTGCATAGAAACGATCTTGAGCAAAGTTGTAGCTGAGAAAATTTTCTATAAGAATGGCTATCAAACTGTTTCGCAGCTCAATATGGAAAGAGTCTAGAAGGCAATAAACAAAAAATTGAGATTTCCCATAGTAATTTACATGTAAACTTCAAATGGCTTGTGCGAAGTCTGTTTCTAACCAAATGAGTTGTAACTTTGGGAGGCTAATCAGGACCCGATTTGAAACCATTTAAGCACTGTGTAGCGAAAAAGTCAAATTTTGCATCAGTCTAGTGGTTAAATTGAAAATAAGTGTTTTCTGCAAATTAGTATTCCTAACTATGGTCTTTGTTTCAGTGATACAGCAATAATTCAACCATATTGATCTAAAAATAAGCAGACATGCTCGATTGGCTCTTGCAAGTGACCGGTCGAATTGGCTCCCGTCGTTGTATCCACCAGACTATGAATATAGTGACAGCTACCATGAAATCATCATGGTTAAATTTACTATGTTCATGGTATTATCCACAATGACATAACATGTAAACTGACCACGACCATGGTTATTAGAACAATTAAACAATACCCTAATAAAACAAATCCCATATACCCGATCGATAGCCCAAATGATAGAACTATTCCATAAACGGATTGGATGAAACCCTGAACACGTCGTTAAGCAAAATAACAATACAAATTTTATTAGGCTAGTCAAGACGAGCAGTACTAAAATTGCTGTTTTTAGCTTCGATGTCGGAAATTTCGTTCGATAGCTGTTCCTATTCTTAATGATCTAGTTGTGAGTAATCCGAATCTCATTTATGTTTCAATTCGTTTAAAACTGGTTGTTATAATAATCATGATTTTTTTTGTTGATTTCCAGCATTTGGTCAATGGTGACACTCCAAACTATATGAGGATTCAAAAATAAGATCATTGGTGACCATATTAAGTATTCAAGATCACACTGGCCATACATGTTCCGGGTGCTCCCGGGGAGTTTCATAAATTTCCCGAAATTTTCCTGAGGCTAATGGAACTTCTCTGGAGTTCTCGGAACATCCCTAAAATTCTCTTCAGAACTACTCTGAAGTTCTCCTCAGAACTACTCTGAAACTCTTCACAGAAATACTCTGAAGTTCTCATAAGAGCTACTCTGAAATTCTCCTCAGAATTTCTCGGAAGTTCTCCTCAGAACTACTTTGAAATTCTCGTCAGAACTACTTTGAACTTCTCCTTAGAACTACTCTGAAGTTCTCCTCAGAATAACTGTGAACTTCTCCTCAGAACTACTCTGAAGCTCTCTTCAGAACTACTTTGAAATTCTCCTCAGAACTACTCTGAACTTCTCCTCAGAACTATTCTGAAGTTCTCATCAGAACTAAGTTCTCGTCAGAACTACTCTGAAGTTCTTCTCAGAACTACTCTGAAACTGTCCACAGAAATACTCTGAAGTTCTCATCAGAGCTACTTTGAAATTCTCCTCAGAATTTCTCGGAAGTTCTCCTCAGAACTACTTTGAAATTCTCGTCAGAACTACTTTGAACTTCTCCTTAGAACTACTCTGAAGTTCTCCTCAGAATAACTGTGAACTTCTTCTCAGAACTACTCTGAAGCTCTCTTCAGAACTACTTTGAAATTCTCCTCAGAACTAAGTTCTCTTCAGAACTACTCTGAAGTTCTCCTAAAAACTACTCTAGATCTTCGAAGAAGTTTTCAACATTTTCTTGATATGTACGAAGTTGTCCGAATATTCTCTTGAAGATCTTTAAACTTTCTCGCTAGTCGGGACTTCCCTAAAGATATCATTACTCCTCCAGAAGTTCTTTTAACTTCTCAAAAAATTAGAGTTGTCTGTACTTTCCTAAGATTCACTGTACTTTCCTTAAGCTCCCGCAGTTTTCCTGATATTCATAACTCTTCTCCGAAGCTCTCAATATGGTTTGAGAACTTTAAGGGTAATGGTCCATGGTCCATAAGTCAGTAAGGTCCATGGATGGTTTTGCAACATCGGTCAACTTTATGTGGAATTTATTGCAAGTTGGTTGCCTGTAAATTAATGATTACCAATTCGCGATATACTCCACGTAACCGGTAATACAATACAATACGTTGACCGATAATACAAAACCATCCATTGACCTTACTAACTACCATAACCATTACCATTAAAGTTCTCAAACCATAAGTAAAAAGCTTCTAATATAGTTCTCTTTCCGAAATCGTGTGGAGGAAATAACTATTTTGATTGGTAATGGTTCATGACAACCTATTATTTGTAAGGTCTTCTTCCAAAAACCATAATACCAACAATAATACATAAGGTTTCATGTAAAGTTCCATAACCATTTCAGTTAAAGTTTAGTAGGGATTATAATCAATTTTTAACCATTTTCAGTAAGGTCAAGTTATGGTTCGCGTTTTTGCGGGCTTATCCCCTGCTATTATGTCATGGTCAGCATAACCCCTATTAATGTTAAACATTAAATTTCAAAATAAATTCACATCGCTTGACTTCTATCATGAGATCCCTGATCATGAACATCCCCATCCTCCTCCTCACAAAACCCGTATATTTATCCATACTTTTCGCATTGGGTCTGTTTACAATAATTCCAAATCCGTCACTTTGGCGTACCGTTCTGATTGCAATTTTTGCATCATACTCAATTTTTACGAAGAAAATTCTCCAAATTAGTGGATTCAGGAAATAGTCACCATGGATTCATCCGGTGGCCAGCTGGAGGATTGCTTCACCTGTCTCCGCCGGACGGATAACTTTCTGTGTATTGCCGAACGGGACAATGTTAGTGGCGAAGATGTAGCAGCCGTGTTTGCGAAGCACTTCTGGTTTACCAGAGCCGAGTACTGGAACAAATCGGTGTGCACCAGTTGCTGGGAAAAGATAGACGAGTTCCATAAGTTTTACTGCACTGTGGAGAAGGTCCACCATGGATCAGCGATGGTGGCGGCAATCAAAACAGAAACGATAGAATGCGGGGCCGAGCAGGAATCGATGGTTTTTGGAGTGGAGGATGATTCGATGGATGATCCGGATAGGGGCCAGATTTTTGTGGAAGCGGTTTGTAAGGTAGAGGTGAAGCAGGAAGATACTGAGGGGGAGAGGTCATCCGTGGGGAAAGAGATTGAAACCAGTTCGGATGAGGAGGAAGAACCTGGTGCAAGGAACGAAGATTTTCTCGACGAGAGCGCAGAGGCATCCGATTCGGATGTTCCTCTGGCGAAGCGTCTGGCTGCGATAAAAAGGAAGCGAGCCGTTAGCAAACGAACCAAAAAGACAAAGCTCAGGAAGGAGAAGGCAGATAATAAGGAAATGAATGAATTTATTCGGCAGGAGATGGACATTACCTGCCACAAGTGTGCCGAAATGGGTATAGAGAACGATGAAGTTTTTGAATCGTTCTATCGATTGAGAGTACATTTCAAGAAGGTTCACGACACGTACGGGTATGTGTACTGTTGCAATCGAAAGTGGACTACCAAGACCGCATTGGTGGAACATCTGAGGAATCACGAACCAACGAAGAGCGATCGGAGCCGTTGCGTGGAGTGCAATTGCATTTTCAAGGACAAAAGCAGTTACGCGAATCACATGTTTCTGGTACATACGCCTGAGGACCAGAAGCAATTCAAGTGCGATCAGTGTGCGAAGGCTTTCGCGGCGGAAGATCTCCTGAACAGTCACATCAAATGGCACGAGGAAGTCGAGAAGAAGAACCACCACTGCACGATTTGTAACAAGTACTTCCTAAGTGTGAGGAATTTGGAGAATCACAATTTGAGTCATCATCAGTTTGGGGAAAGTTCCAACCAGGACATGGCCATGGGAGACATGGCTTCAGAGCTTCAACCGGAAGCGGCGAAACTCAAACGAACGGCGGAGGACTTAGCCAAAGAGGACGATTTGATTAAGAAGTTCGTCGCCCTAAACTGCTCCAAATGTGACTTTGTTGGTGAGACCTACAACAAATTGTCCTATCACGCCCTGAAGGTCCACAACATGAGTACGCATGCGGTGATTTGCTGCGATAAGAAGTTTGGAAAACGGCAACGACTGTACGAACACTGCCTAAGGCATCTGAATCCAGACCACTTCAAGTGCGATATCTGCGGTAAAACCTACGCGGACAGTTCCGGTTTGCAGATTCACAAATGGTGGATACACACTCCGATTTCGGAACGGCCGTTCAAATGTGACATCTGCGGGGCTGCCTTCGTTAAAGATTACCTCCTGAAACAGCACACCAATTGGCACGTTAACAAGGAGCGAAAGACACACTTCTGCGAGATTTGCAACAAGGCTTACTCGAATTCGATGCAGCTGAAGGCTCACCAACAGAAGAAGCATGATGCCGTGTGCGACTGGGTTTGCGACATTTGCGCCAAAGGGTTCACTCACCGGGCACTGCTCGAGGAACACCGGCTGACGCACACCGAGGAGGGGCTGGCCAGTTTGAAGATGCAGTGCGAAAAGTGCCAGCGATGGCTGATCAACAAGAAGAGCTACCTGCGCCATCGACGGCGCTGCTACGACACGACTGGCCCGGTCAAGTGCGACATCTGCGGCAAGGAGTCGGTCAACGAGGCGGCACTGATGGGCCACAAGAACTTCCACCACTCCAATCGGCCGATGTACACGTGTACCTTCTGTGGAAAGGTGTGCAAGACGCAGCTGCGGATGAAAGTAAGGCTAAAGCGAAGACAACATATCAATGTATGTATTTGTTGTCTTCGGTTTAAGACAAGGTTCGGATTGAAATTTGATTCAATTGAATGTTGGGCCATTTCAGGAGCACGAAGCAACACACACGGGAGTGGTGCTGTACCAGTGTCCGTTTTGTCCGAGGACGTCCAACTCTAGCTCCAATATGTACACCCACAAGAAGACGGCTCACCCGGAGAAGTGGGCCGAAGAAGTTTCCGCAAGATTCTATACTAGGTAAATAGTCAGCTGGAGATGACTTATGAATGATTCTGCATCAATAAATATCTATATTCTGTATTTATCACGACAACGATATGGGCAATCTTTACTATCAAATGTGCACTTCGAACTTATAAACGTTGTTTCTATTCGCACTTTCACCAGGACTTGACGGCTAACTTTAAATGTGACGATTTCTAGTCATCGGCAAAGTTCTAGCGCGTTTGCGACCGGAGACAGATGGGTTTTAATATCTAACATGTTGTTGCCGCTTTCGCTCTAAAAGCTCTAGGAGATGATAAAGGGCTATCCGCATTCCACGCAGACAGTTCGAGCTTTTAGATTAATACCCCTCCCATCCCCGCCCTCGCCACTCCGTGGAATTATGGAAATTATGGTTAGCGAGAACCTTAACCTGTGAGAAAAGATCCACGTGGCGGTAAGCACATCAGCACACGAAGTAATAAATAACACTCATAGATGACCTCCTAACGGTCGATTTGAAGAGGAGTGGCAGAAATTCATCATCAACATTACAACGCTTGTATCTGTCTGACTGAGCAGTTATAACAAGCCTATCGAGCTGACATTTTTCTTGTCGATAAGTACACGATTTCCGGCATCCTTTTTCTCTAAATCACGATGAAACACCTTCCGACACCCAAAACACACAGCGAATACAATAAAAGCATATACACAAGGTAGCATAGTGAATTACCATCGGCTCATTCCATTACAAACAGTTTCAAAATCAATCCGTAGCATGGAACAATATTATATTTCACTCAAACTTAAAAATTTGTTGTTTTTGAAAATAAACACCTTCTCCTTCCCAGGTGATCTATATCTTTTCGGTCCTTCTCATGTGTGTCAATCCGCCACTAAATAGTCAGTACTTATTTAAGCTCCTCCTTGTGTTCATTATTCTCGTCTATTCTTGAGGACTAACTGAACAGCTATTGAAACACAATTAGCATACTATTGATTTTAATCAAAAACGTTTGTTCATGTATTCGATCATTTTCGACTGCATGAAACATCTTTTGTTCTAGCACTTTTTTTCAAAAATACATTTTTGCATCTCAACAACCAAAAACCTTCTGGGAAGCAAAGGGTATGTGTTTACTTGTCGGTGCTTTGTGCTGTTCCCTATCCCTGGCTCCCAGCGAAGGATGATGGAATGCATAGAGTGGATGGCTTGCAAGCGTCACCATCTCCTTCTGGAAGTGGACCAGGAAAAATAAATCCGGGTTCGTCTTCGCGTTTTCGTCTCTCCTCGTTATCCGGAAGACAGCGCTTGGGGCCAGCTGGTACCGGTCCTTGATTTCGGCTTCGATTGATTTGGGGGTCGAAGTTCGGTAAGTCCCTGATGACCACCTTGAAGGGTTTTTCACCAGGAATGTCATGCGTGAAGTATTCCGCCTTGGAATCCTTCAGGTACTTCACGGCCACTTCATACTTCGCTTGAATTCAGCTGTGACGCCCTGCGATGTGAAATCACCAATGAGCGTGTTGCGTGGCACTTTCTTCACCATCATGCGAGGTAGCTTCACTTTTGACGCACTCGGGCCAGTAGAATTCTCGTTATCGATGGTGTCGCCGAAATCACCGACATCGCTGACGTTCGTCGCGGTGACATCGGACTGGCCATTCTTGTTCCGCTTCTCCTGCGTCACTGCTGGGTTGGTATTCTCAGTTCCGGTAGGAAGAGTAACGAACCTATTCGAAATAATAGGTACACACGAGTTACCCTCAACACAGTCCTCGTTCTCCGTTTTCAATCGGAGTCTGCTCCGGAAGCTCTGCCTTTCCATCGCACGATGCGACCGACACTACTGACAGACAACACGAACAAACGCACAGTAAATCTGCGAACTTTTGGAAAACAAACTACACTCAAAAAAGTCCACACGTCTAATCGAAGTGTTTAAGCACTGATTGTAAATCCTACACCACACTCAAAAAATTTCACACGTTTGATCGAAGTGTTTAAACACTTGATTTTTTAAATGCAGAATCACATTTACTTTAAGTGTATTTCACCTTGGTTCAATGTGTTATACACGTTAATTTATAGTGTTTCAAACTTTGAAATGTTGAAATTTTTTCACTATCTATTCAAGTGTATTGCACATTGAATCACGCTACTGTTCAAAACAGATGGATTTAAAGTGTTTTGCATTTCAATACGATGTGAATTGCTAGCTCAGAAAGGTAAACATCGAGAACAAGAGTTGTGACTTTTTCCTATCAACCCGCCTCATATATGAGAACAACCGTGGCACAGAGAGATTGAACGAAGACTCTGGCAGCAGCACACCCCAACAGTTCATGATCGAATCCAAAATCCGACTCCATTAAAAAGATATGTGAAAGCTCTGGCTTCTGGCAGTTTTGTTTATATATTGGTCGATTCATTTTTAGAGTCGGTAAAGTAGAAGTCGATAAAGTAGAATATTGTAGAATATTGAACTATGGTGTGCAAAGCTATTGATATCAATCCAAGTGTGTCACAATTAAAATCCATAGTGTTCAGGCATGGTTCATAGCATAAGATTCACACATGAAATGGATGTGTTTCACAATAAGCGCAAAATTAAATGTGAGACACATGATGATATCGTGTGGAATTTTTTGAGTGCAAGGCGAATTTACACTCAAAAAAATTATCACATATCTAATGGATGAAATCCATTTGATTTTCATATAGCTTTCCTGTGATCACATAGCTGCAAATCCCTCCACAAAATCACATGAATATTATGAGGCCGATGAAATTCATATGAAAAATCATATAAAATTATTGTGATCGCATAAATGTTATGTTCCATTAATTTTGATAATGGATGAAAATCATGTGAGTTTCCAACCCGCATAAACGCGAACAATAAATTGACCTTACCTAAAATGGTTAAAAATTGTTTATAATCCCTTCTAAACTTTAACTGAAATGGTTATGGAACTTTACATGAACGTTTAATGATAAAGTTTCAACCTTATGTATTATGGTATTTTGGAAATGGACCTTACAAATAATGGGTTGTTAAGAACCATTACCATTCCAAATTCTTGTTTTCTCCATACATTTTCAGAAAGAGAACTATATAAGAACGTTTTTACTTATGATTTGAGAACATTAATGGTAATGGTTATGGTAGTCAGTAAGGTCCATTAATGGTTTTGTATTATCGCTCAACTTTACGTGGAATATATCGTGAATTGGTAATCAGTAAATTACAGGCAACCAATTCGCGATGTATTCCACATAAAGTTGAACGATGTTACAAAACCATTCGTGGACCTTACTGACTACCATAACCATTACCATTAAAGTTCTCAAACCATAAGTTAAAAGGTTCTAATATAGTTCTCTTTCCGAAAATGTATGGAGAAAACAAGAATTTGGAACGGTAATGGTTCTTAACAACCCATTATTTGTAAGGTCCAGTTCCAAAAAACCATAATACATAAGGTTGAAACTTTATCATTAAACGTTCATGTAAAGTTCCATAACCATTTCAGTTGAAGTTTAGCAGGGATTATAAACAATTTTTAACCATTTTAGGTAAGGTCAATTTATGGTTCGCGTTTATGCGGGAATGGAAGCTACATGAAAACTATTTTCAGTGTACATATGCAGCATTTTACGAGTGCTTATGGCCGCCACAATCTGGCTGAGTTTTTGGTAGGGAACATATGATTTGACGTATGGGTTGTGTCGTTTGACGTGTAAACGTTCAAATTTGATCGTTTACACGTCAAACGACACAAGCCAAACTTCAAATTTTATGTTCCCTACCAGAAACTCAGCCAGATTGTGGCGGCCATAAGCGATCGTAAAATCTCGCGTAAAATACTGGATAGGATTGCCCGAGGGGGGCGACACATCTAAATCTCATTTCTAGATGCTCAAAAAATCTCACACCAGCGAATTAATCTTCCAAAAATCTTCTCTCATTTCTCGCATCTACTTGCATCGGGCATAATATTTTGCAGGAAATCTTCAGAATCGTCATCAATCTTCTTTCTATCTACTCAGCGTGCACGCAGCTAGTCACAGCAAAACACAATCTTTCCTGCATCATAGATCACACAAAAAATAAAAATGGTTCTTATAAAATTATTGCAATTTCAAATTAAAAGTTTCCTGAATTTCGTAGTTTTAACTACGAAAATATTCGAAATGAATGTAATTTTGTTTGCTTAAAAGTTTTTCTTTCACTTTCGACTTGTAATTTTAAAAGCTCATATTTTTTAAATAAAAGTTGTTAAACTGTCAAAAATACCAATTCATAACAAACTTTTTGGCAACACTGTGCCTTCTTTTGCCGCTAAATTTGAACCGATGTCACTCAGACCAAGAGGTAGAATAAACTGGGACGAAACTTTAATCAATTTATCAATTACAAGTAATTATAGCAGCTTCCGCGGAAAACATTCGCTACAGGTAAGATGAAATGACAATACATATAAAAATTTGAGTTTAATAATTTAATTTCAGGTAAAACGGAAAAGAAAATACTATCAAATCAAAAGATCTCCCCGGGAAAGACATTGTTGCGCTGTTCCAATCGATGTGAGTTTTTGTTTGTAAGTACAATTTTGAGAATACAATTGAATAATGCTCTGGATATTTTTGCAGAACCCAAGGTAAGAGTGATGCCATCCGTACAGCTCATCGATTTCCTCAAGGAAAGCAACGTGATCCTCGGTTAAACGAAATTATTCAACTCAACCCACTGAAGATGAAAAGCGAACACTGGAAATCATCAACCCCCCTGCAAGTAGGATGAAACGGTTCAGAATGCAAGTGAGTAATCAACGACTGTTTACAGTAGATGCAAAGTGTGTTACTAATTTTTATAAACTTTCCTCGCCAAGGACGGTCCGATTCAATATCTGACGTCAGACGAAAATGGACCGGGAACCGATCACGATGTTATTTGTTGGGTCATCTTCTTCTGTACCTATCCATACACCTATCGCCGAGCCTATCGCTATCGCACTTGAACATTGTGGTTCCTCTCAAAGTGAAGACAGCTCCAAGACCGAGGCCAAGACGTAAACGAAAGCATCACCATCGATAACACATATTCTTGGATCTTTTTATATTGTTTTCTCGATTTATTTCTTATAAAAACACTATGTAATATTTATGAAAAGTAAATAAATTTTATTTTTATTAAAATTGCTTATTTTGCTTCTGAAAATATTGTATTTTAAATTCAAAATTACACATATGTCATTTTAACTATACCATATTTTCAAGTCAAAATGATGACAATATTCCGCCTTTAATTTTAACACAGTCACGCTTTTAATTTGACAGAAGTACAATTCTTTTTGAAAGTTTTAACTTTTAAAAGTTGCTAGCGAGCAACTTTTGATTTGACAGTTTGCTGACTATCGTTTTGAAAGCTAACCGCTTTCTACCAAAAAGAACCAATGCAAACTTTCAATTCTACCAATGGTTTTTTTAATTTTAGAAACGATTTTTCTTTGTGTGTAGAGTCGTCCCCCTCGGGATTGCCGCGGATACACTTGTATCAGCAATCAATATGAAACTATCGATTTTAAATTGGCTCACTACTTGACTAGCCTATTGGTCCCAAGCAAATCGATTAACATACCCCATTCTAGTCGAAATTCTAGTACTACACTATGTTTGTTTTGATTCGCTATGAAAGTTTGACAGATAAAATCAGTGCTAACATTTGAAAACGGCACAAAAGCCATTTGTAAACAAATGGTTTGTGGGCCCTTTACTCACTACTTGAAGTACACCCACGCGACAAAACAGCAACATCGGGTAGGGGAAATTTTCCCCTTCCTGACGATGCTGTTGGTTTGCGTGGGCGTTCTTCGGGTAGCGAGTAAAGGGCCCACAAACCATTTGTTTACAAATGGCTTTTGCGCCGTTTTCAAATGTTAGCACTGAAATGAGGGGTTCGTAAAGTTTCCTATGTTTCGAGGGGTGTATCGATTAGCTTGGGACCGAAGATAGTACCAGAGCTGAGCCAAAAAGTTTAGCTATGTAGTTTCTTCGGGACCTTCTGGTCTTAGAGTTACCATAGAGTTACCTCTATGGTAGAACCATAGAGGTAACTCTAAGACTAAGACCAACAATCAATACGAAACTATCGATTTGAAATTGGCTCACTACTTGACTAGCCTATTGGTCCCAAGCAAGCGATTAACGTATACCATTCTAGTCAAAATTCTAGTACTACACTATGTTTGTTTTGATTCTCTATGAAAGTTTGACAGATAAAATGAGGGGTTCGTGGATTTTCTCATGTTTCGAGGGGTGCATCGATTAGCTTGGGACCGAAGATAGTACCAGAGCTGAGCCAAAAAGATGAGCACGTTTTTTCGGGACCTACTTGTCTTAGAGTTACCTCTATGCTAAGACTAAGACTCAAAACTACGGGACCAGAAGGTGGTTTCTCGTCTTAGGACAGGCCATACAAGGATCTCACATAGTTTTGGTGGGACGCAGTTCCACAGAATGTGCTACGTTTGCGGAACCACTGCATCGGTGGAACACATCCTATGCCTGTGTCCGCAATACCAACAACTACGGGAGCAGTACGCACTTCCCAACAGCATTAGCGACATACTGGGCGACGAACCTTCCACTTTAGCGACAGTTATTCATTTCCTCAAGGACGCTGGGCTATACAACATTTAGGTCCTTTTAACTTTCTTTTGGCTGACGGGACATCTCTGCCGGACGGAGGAGCTCCGATCTCTTTCGAAACCTCGTTCAAAACCCTACATAACTTTGATGTACTAGATTGTTTTTTTTCTCGTTGCCTGTATTGTTAGTCTTTTTACTGGAATCTGGTTTTAATTGCTTCTATTTGAATACATGCGAATTGTAAGCCAACTCCGTAACAAAACTTGCAGGCAGAAACCCCTCTGGGGCCTCCTATTTTATAGAGATGAACTAGCCAACGACTAAAAATCTATCATAAAGCCAAAAAAAAAGTCATTCCAATCGAGCAGAAGACTTGTCAAATGGATAAGATGTCGCCTCTTTGCCCAATTCAGCATCTGTATGGGGTGTTTACATCTATGCGAATTTGATAGCGCTAGTGTATTAGTCAACTAGCACGGATTTAAATTGCTCCTGAAATCTCATGCTGGTAGACGCTGATGCCCTGTTCACATTATGCTGGTGAGCTTTTTTGCTAGCAGCTGGCTCATTAGCACTAGTGAAATAGCATAAGTGTAAACGCCCCATTAGTAAATAAGAAAACGATATCCCTCTCTTCTTTCTTTTGGCTGCAGAATAGTTCGGCGATGAATGAGCATACCTTTAGGCGAATTGTAATATCAGACATTTAAGCGTTTCGTTTTGATGATTGATACCTATATATAGGCTGATTCTGTGACACTACCCCGAATGTCACTACCCCGAACGCCATAACCCCGAATGCCACTACCCCAAATGTCCTACTACCCCGAATGGCCATTACCCCGAATGCCCTACTACCCCGAATGGCCATTACCCCGAAATTAAGACAAATGAAAGAACAGCAAGGGGCCAAAAGAAGGGTACATTTTTAGAAGGAAATTTCGTTTTGGAATTTATATATATATTTATATTATTAAATGATAATTTTTTATTGGAATTTTGAAGCTTGCAAGCGAGCAAGCTTGTTTTACGCGAGAAGCCCGAGAGATGTCGTTACTGAGGTCCTATGTTTTGAGACACTATGTTTTCAAGAAAAACTTTTTCAAAGTGTTATGTCTGTTGTCTGTGATTAAACTCTCTGATTAGTTTCACTTTACTAAATTGATGATACACTACGTTTACTTTTATGGAACTATGTATTTATCAATTCCAAACCATTTTAAAGCTCTTTAGAAAATGACAACCTTCAAGTTTTCGAGCACTTCGTTCACGATTTAAAAAGTCAAAGGGTCTAATATGCAATCCAATTCAATATGCAATACCAGTCGGAAACTGTTAAACCTTATCAAAGAATTGTTCGACCTGAGTCTAGACATGAGTTGAAGAATTTCTCGTTATGGATTGAAAAATCGGTGCATGGAACGTTGAACTATCGATTACAAATTTATAACATTATTCCACACGTTATTATCCCAAATGGTCATTACCCCGAATCCCGCGCCAAAAGCTATTGATTACATATTTTCCTTATATATTAAAAGAAGGGAATATTCCCTTCCCTTCTTTATCATACATCCAAAGAATAAATTATTTTCTTTTTATATATTCAAAGAAAGGAATATTCCCTTCTTTATCGTTCATCCAATAATTAATTATTTCCTTTTGTTATATTTTCAAAGAAGGGAATATTCCCTTCTTTATCATATATTTAACGAATTGATTATTTTCTCTTTTATATATTAAAAGAAGGGAATATTCCCTTCTTTATCGTATATCCAAAGAATTAATTATTTCCTATTGTTATATTTTCAAAGATGGGAAACCCCCTTGAGCCATTAAGGGGCTGTTCATTAACTACGTAGACAGTTTTTTTTGTTGGGATTCTTGACCCCCCCCCCTTCCCCTGCGTAGACAATTTTCCATACAAAATTTTTAAAATTTGTATGGACCGTGCACAATTGCCAACCCCCCCTTCCCTAAACTGTCTACGCAATTTATAAACATATCCTTTTTCTTTTTATATACGCGAAAGAATATTCCAGGAATGACTATAATAAACAAAAATAGTCAATCTAATACATGGCATACTTTTCTGGAGAATGGTACATTCTGGGGAATGGTACATTCTGGGGAATGCTTTTCTGGGGAATGGTGCATTCTGGGGAATGGTTTTCGGGGGAATGGTTTTCTGGGGAATGTTATAGAATCCTATCATTTGTATTCAGTATAAATTGACCACTTTGTCAAGCAGTTTTGGCGTGACTTTCTACCAGCGATTTCACAAAACTGGACCAACTAATTTCTATTTTTAATTATAAAACGCACAAATGTTGGCTACTTTTCTCGAGGTTCTAGAAGAAAAAATCTCAAAATAATGTTTTATTTCAAAGTTCGAGCGGTAGTAAACGTCATTTTAAGTGCTCGAATGAAGTGGTTAATTAGAAAAGAAAATTTCCTTCTCAAAAATTTATCCCTTGCTGTTCTTCTATTTGTCTTAATTTCGGGGTAGTCGCCATTCGGGGTAGTGTACTATTCGGGGTAACGGCGTTCGGGGTAGTGTACCGTTCGGGGTAACGGCGTTCGGGGTAGTGACATTCGGGGTAGTTTCACAGAATCAAATAGGCTACCTTTAGGCGAATTATAACATCGGATATTTAAGCAACAGCAACTAAGCCTTTTTTTCCTTGATTTGTTTTCCGTCGATCTTGTTTTCCGTGCTGACCCTACCTGGACCCTACCTATCGACCCATCACATCAACTCATGAACCGGGGACCAACGGCTTTACTTCCCTTCCAAAGGAAGGCGTGATCATAGATGTTATGCCTCAGAACATCCCGGCGGCGCCGACTGGGATTGAACCCAGGCCTGCTGCACGCTTACCACTACACCACCGGCACCGCTAACAACTAAGCCTTGTTGATTCATACACGAAGGCGAATATGTTGTGGCTGTTTGCTGAAGGAAGACGATGTTTTCTTATATTTCACAAGACGAAAACATTAGGCGGTGATATTCCACTACCTTGAGGTACGAATAAAAAATCTCCCTTAAACTTTTAGCATACAATAGCATAATCGTATGCCTAAACAAATAGAAATCAATATATTCCAAAGCACATTTGTCATAGCATTTCTCTCCGAACAGATACACAGTCAACAGATCTAAACATCTGCACTACTTAAAAATCCTCATACCCTGGCATGGGATACTTGGCACTATATGTCTGCACTTCCTCCTTCAGGGTTTGCACCTTAGCATTAAGAGTCGCATCCTCATGCAGCACACGTTTGAAATCCACCAGCTTCGGTCCGGAAACGGCAGCGATTTCCTTCGACAGCTTCAGTCCCCGATCGATGAAATCCACCACCTGGTCCATGTCGGATTCCACCAGACCTCGCGTCGTCAGGGCAGGCGTACCCAACCGGATTCCGGACGGGTTCAGTGCACTCTTGTCTCCGGGTACGGTATTCTTGTTGCAGGCGATGGAAATCTCCTCCAGGACGTACTCCGCTCGGGCTCCGGTGATTCCAGCCGGGCGCAGATCCACCAGCACCAGATGGACATCGGTTCCACCGGTTGAGATGCTGTAGCCACGGTTCATCAAACCCTTGCACAGTGCCTGGGCATTGCGGATGACTTGTACCTGGTAGTCTTTGAACTCGGGCGTACGGGCCTGCAGCATACAGGTGGCAATACCGGCAATGGCGTGGTTATGGGGACCACCCTGAATTCCGGGGAACACGGCGCCGTTGATTTTGGCTTCCAGATCGTACATCACTTTGTCGCCGTTTGGTTTCACGCTGCGCACTCCCTTGCGGAAGAAGATCACACCGGCGCGGGGACCTCGGAGCGATTTGTGCGTCGTTGTGCTTACCTGTAAGTAAGGTCGTAATTAGCAAACGGTAAGATGGATATGAAAATAGGGCACACTCACCACATCGGCATATTCAAACGGCGATGGGATAATTCCCGCGGCGACCAGGCCGGAAATGTGCGCCATATCAGCAAACAGGTACGCTCCGTTGGCGTCGGCAATCTGGCGGAACCGCTTGTAGTCCAGGCAGCGCGAGTAGCACGAAATGCCGGCGATGATGATCTTTGGCTTGAAGTTCTTGGCGCTCTCCTCGAGCTTGTCGTAGTCGATCAGTCCAGTGACCGGGTTGACCTTGTAGGGCATGCTCTCGAAGAAGATGGATGTGGCGGAAATCTTCTTGGTGGCGGTCATGAACCCGTGCGTCAGATGGCCACCGTCCGGCAGGTCCAGACCCATGATGCGCCCATGCGGTTCGATCAGCCCCGTGTAGACGGCAAAGTTGGCCGGTGAACCGGAGTACGGCTGTACGTTGCAGCCCCATTCCTCCGGGTTCAGGCCGTACGCCTCGAGGGCACGCTTCTGGGCCAGCAGCTCGATCTCGTCGATGAACTCGTTTCCACCGTAGTATCTGTGCGGAAGGTGTTTGTGTATGTGTGTTTTCGATTAGCAAATATTTTCCCATGTTGATAAGGGCAACGCTTGAAAGGGATGTTTTGAGGTTTGCGTGGCTTAGCTTAGAAGGAAGAGCGATACGTCAGCAAATTTGTTTGCCCCCAGCGAATTGGCGCAGATAAGCAATTGACGATATGATCGAGGTTTCGATGCAGGGCAAGGGGCAATGAGAGCAGTTCGTGTAAATATGCAAACATCTTCGATTGCATTGGACAAAAATGTGAGATTATCAGCAAACTATGGCTGAAGATTGCATTTGAAGTGTTTAGGTCAACATCAACTTTTAACGAACTCTGGAATCAAACTTTACGAATCTTGCGGTTATGAAACCCTCAAATGGAGTAGAATCTTAATATAGGATTTTCCAAGGCATTTATCCCAAACGAGATTCAACGACAAGAATCTCATCGTGGGAATCCAGGAAGAGGTTCAATGAACCCCTAAAATGGGCTTTACGAATTCCACAGCATTCAACAAATCTCTGAAAAGGATCTACAGAGACCATGAATAGGATTCAACATATCCGATAGAGGAATTCAACGACTTCCAGAAGAGGGATCGAAACCCCAAAAAGGATTCAACGAATCCTAGAAAGGGATCTGACGAACTTCAGACGGTGAAAACGAAGTGAAGTGACGATTTGTCACACTTCGCCGTGAGTGATAAGTTCGACAGTGCGCATGTAAAAGGACGTAACCGCAATGATCGTTTCTCTTCGTCGATTTTCTCTTTTGTTAATAACTCGATTGGATTAACATTTATCGGTGCGTTTGGTGTTGCTTTTTAAGACCAATACAACCCGTTATACCACTGTATTGGACAAATGACTTAAAATTGCTTCCCTTATCGGTAGCAATTTAAAGAGATAATCTATTATAAGAATCGATCATCCTATGCTCATGTCGAGTTGTCACTTCACCGTGAAGTGACATCGGTAATAAGGGCCTAAACCAGGGTTTCAACGAATCCCAAAACGAGATGTAACGAATCCCAGAAAGGGATTCAACTATCCCGGAAAGTGATTGATCTAATCTCACAGAAAATGATTCGACGAATTCTAAAAACGGATTCAACGAATTTGAAAAGGGCATTCAAAGAACCTCAAACTGAGATTTAACTCAATCACTCAGCATCTATCAGCGGATCCCATAAAAAGGATTCATCAAATACCAGAAAGAGATTCAAAGATATCCAGGATAGGATTCAACGAATTTCAGAAAATGATTCAATCAATAGAGATTGGCCCGAAAGGCCAGTCCTTATTGCTGACGAAAAGCTGTCAAAATGAATCCCAAAACGGATTCAACGAATCGCAAAATGGGATTTTACATATCTTTAAATGTGATTCATTTGGGACCAGGGTTGTTAATCGATAACCGTCGATAACGTCAGCGTTATCGTCTGCAATGGTTAATTTGGGTTGCAGACGTTATCGCTCTTATTGGGACCAGTCGATTGGCTACAAAAAAAAACCCCCACCAACCGTACTCACCGTTGTCCGGGCAGTCCCTCCGAGTACTTGTTGTGCAGGCAGGATCCCAAACACTGGAGCACCGAGAGCGAGGTGAAGTTTTCACTGGCAATCATTTCCAGCCCGTGGATCTGGCGTTTCTTCTCACTGCGGATCAGCTTCATTAGCTCCGGGTCCGACTCCCAGAGGTTCTCGTGCAGCAGCTTGGCATTGCCGGACATCTGTGGACAGAGAGGATAGTTCGTGGAATTAGCAAGCAAATTTGAGCGATCGAGTTAATCGTGCAATTACTTTTTTATCATTAAACCGTGGCATTTTAGTAGTTTACTTTGAAAAAAAAAATCACTTATAAATTAATATTAAACACTTGTTTAAAATTTCTTGTAGCAGAACCGTTCTCGTTGGTAGTTCAAAGCAGATTAAACTTAGTCGTGTTACTGTGGCGAATGAGATGGGCCATGTGTTTGTTGCATTCGCGTGATCGTGATAGGATTTATTTCCCTTTACGTTGTTGTTGTTGTTCACCACTTTCTATTTTGTTGAATTACTATCAATAGATGTTTAAGAATACTACGACGAGCTAGTTCACAGTGGGTTGGAATCGTTACATGAATTCTGTTACTCATCAGCATACTGTGAGTCGGTATACAGCCCGCTGTGTCTCTCTTATCAGCAAAGGCAAGGGCTTGGATGGTATGTTTATAATTTTACAAATCAGAAAAAAACACTACAACAGCTGTAGTTAAGGCGTAGCGTCTGACGTTGTTGTTATGCGAATAATATGCGTCAAGCAATGTGAACAGTAATAACTCCTTGACCGTCAAGACCTTACTCGGGGAGGAGCAAAACATGTTGTTACCAGTTTCGGGATGGTTCTCGAAAAAGCAAGGGAGTAATGCATTTCCAGGCCATGAATTTCAGACTCGACCTTTTCCGATTTGCATGAAAATTCGCATTGTTTGTTATGGTCAATCATTCACATTTGAGCTAAAGTTAAGCCTTTTTGAATCTCGCATAAAAGCTTAGTGTATTCAAAAATGTTCAACAAATCATAACACAAAAATGCAATCGAAATGACGTCTGAGACGAAATTGCAGGAAAAATAATACCTTTTAAGAAAAAAAAAATTTAAATGTAATTTTGGATAAAAAATCAAAACAAAACTTAAACCTTAAATAACAATCTTCTGTGATAATTTCAAATTGGATTCTTATCATGTTCCAAGGTGAGTACATATAGATTAAAGAGGCCGAATTGGGTGTATAAATTTAGCCTGATGTTCTAATGTGTCAAATTCAAAATTGTTATAATGTGTTAAAGTAGGCATTGAGAAAATCACACCTGAAGTTACAAAGTGGAATTCCCATGTAAATATTTCAAAAATCGTAGTAAAATTCTCGCGCAACACGGCCCATCATTGTTGATCGATTCTCTTCATCGATTTTCTCTTTGGCGAATAACCCAACCTCTTTAAACCCAACCATAGAGGTAACTCTAAGACTAGAAGATCCCGAAGAAACGTGTTTAACTTTTCCGCCCAGCTCTGGTATTCTCTTCGGTCCTAGAATATATCAACGAGGATAGGCTCTTTTCAAATGTTACACAAGAATTATTCATAAATTTTTCAAGATAAACTCATCTGCAATGAGGCTTGCATGTTTTGTTATATCAGCAAACATATGGCAATCAAAAAAAAACAGTACCGTAACTTACTTTCTAGACGATTGAATTTCAGGATGGAACTGATTTGCAATTACTTTGCTTGATGGGACAAACTGACTTGATGTTGTTTTCACATATTTCATGAACAAAATCTACAATCTCCCTTAGCTCAGTCGGTAAAGTCGCAGCTACAAAGCAAGACCATGCTGGAGGTGGCTGGGTTCGATTCCCGGTCCGGTCTAGGAATTTTTCGGGTTGGAAAATTTCTCGACTTCTCTGGGCATAGAAGTATGATTGGACTTGCCACACAATCATACCAATGCAAAAATGGTACATGGAAGTGCATCTAGAACACTAAGTTGAGAGCACGCAATAAGCTAATATGCGATAGGCAATAAGCTTGAAATGCGAAGAAGAAGAAGAATGAACAAAATCTTTAGTTTGATCACAAAATATGAAAGTAGATGTCAATTGAAGGTAGATAAATTTGTTATCACAAAATAAACGAAAATCCATATGGGATTGATATGCGATTATAGACAGTGTATCACGTATCACCATGTTATACCCACCATGATCATAGACAGAATTTGCCACTCCAAAAAATGCCAATGTTCCTTGAACATCTTCAAAAGTCCATTATATTTACTGTTTTGAAAATTTTCTTAACTCCTATGAACTTCCAAGTGCTTCTAAGTGCTTTTTTCCTGGTAGTGCAACAACAAGACCATATTGGCACAGCGTAAAGCATGGCCGGTCTAAAAACTTGTTTAAATATTAGAAGTTTATTCGTCAGGCAAAGTTTGGATTTCCTGTTTATAAGACGATACAAACATTTTATATATTTGTTACATTTGGCTTGAATGCCCTCAATGTGATATTTAAAAGTTAATTTTTGGTCAAGAACTAATCCAAGATATTTCACTTGGTTTGACCAGGAAATTGGAACTCCGTTCATACACACAAAAAATTATCGTTAATTAAATTGAAAAAATCATTGGTAGAATTAAAAGTTTGCGTTGATTCTTTTTGGTAGAAAGTCTTTAGCATTCAAAACAAAAGTCAGCCAACTGTCAATTCAAAAATAACTCGTTTTTTACTTTTAAAAGTAGAAACTTTCAATTCGAACTGTAAAACTGTCAACATAAAAACCCATGTTTTTTTAATAGACTCACGAAAGGATTTAATTTAAAAGATGGGCATTTTTATCACAACGATGTATGTTTTCATCTCAAATTTGAATTATTTTTAATTCGACTGCTATATGCTTTGAAAAAAAATAACAATAAAAATATTTTATTTAATATATTATTGTTTATTTACATTTTTGATGATGACTGAAAGGGCACTACATTGTGGAATCTTCCATACAGTTGGTGATGGTGATGGTGGGAGTAGCCTTCCTTTCCGGCAAGACTGACGAAGCTGCTCAAAACACATAAATTATTATAATCGGAAGCAAGATCGAAAGTTTTCGAAAATTTCATCAACCTACCTCTAAATCCCGTAACTGGAAATGTGGAAATGTTATAAGTTGAGTTTTGGAAGCGTTGGGAGAAATCTTCCATTTTTGTAAATAAGAAGAGAAAATATCTAAACTTTTCTGAAGTCTGCTGCAAATAACACGAAGACTTCTTCCTTTAGCGGAAATGCCTGTGTCATCAGCGAACAAAGATTTGTGGCAACCCTGAGGCAAATCAGGGAGGTCCGAAGTGAAAATGTTATACAATATAGGCCCAAGAATGCTACCCTGAGGAACTCCTGCTCTAACAGGTAGTCGATTAGATTTGGAATTTTGATAATTTACCTGCAGAGTTCTGTCAGTTAAATAATTTTGAACTAATTTCATAATGTAAAGTGGAAAATTAAACTTTTTCAATTTAGCAATCAAACCTTCATGCCAAACACTGTCGAATGCTTTTTCTATGTCTAGAAGAGCAACTCCAGTTGAGTGGCCTTCAGATTTGTTTGAACGAATTAAATTGGTAACTCTTAAGAGTTGATGAGTAGTTGAATGCCCATGGCGAAATCCAAACTGCTCATCTGCAAAAATTGAGTTCGTATTGATGTGAAGCATCATTCTTTCAAAATTACCTTTTCAAAAAGTTTACTTATTGAAGAAAGCAAACTTATTGGACGGTAGCTAGAAGCTTCAGCTGGATTTTTATCCGGCTTCAAAATTGGAACAACTTTTGCATTTTTCCATTTATCAGGAAAGTATGCCAAATGGAAACATCTGTTAAATAATTTTACCAAGAAAGACAAGGTACTCTCTGGGAGTTTTTTGATGAGGATATAGAAAATTCCATCATCACCTGGAGCTTTCATATTTTGAATTTTTTTAGTTATAGACCTTACTTCGTCCAAATCAGTCCCCCAGGAATCATCAAAAATATTTTCCCGAGAGAAAATATTCCGAAAATCCCGAGCAACCTGATTCTCAATAGGACTAGTAAGACCCAAACTGAAATTATGGGAACTCTCGAATTGCTTAGCAAGTTTCTGAGCTTTTTCCAAATTTGTGATCAAAATTTTACCACCTTCTTTAAGTGCTGGAATTGGCTTTTGAGGTTTTTTCAAAATTTTTGTGAGTTTCCAAAAGGGTTTGAAACTCGGGTCTAATTTAGAAACATTATTTTCAAAAGTTTTGTTCCTCAGGGCAGAGAATCGCTTTTTAATTTGTTTTTGCAAATCCCGCCAGATAACTTTCATGGCAGGATCACGTGTTCTTTGAAATTGTCTCCTACGGACATTTTTAAGACGGATCAAGAGCTGAAGATCGTCGTCTATTATAATTGAATCGAATTTAACCTCGCATTTTGGTACTGAGGCAGCTCTTGCTTCAACTATAGAAGTAGTCAGAGATTCAAGAGCATAATTAATTTCATCTTTGGTTTGCAAAGGAATGTTTGGATCGAAGTTATATTCCATAAATGTTCGATATTGCTCCCAATCAGCCCTATGGTAATTGAAAGTAGAGCTGTTGGGATTAGAAATTATTTCTTGGGATATTTCAAAAGTTACTGGAAGGTGATCAGAACCGAAGTCAGCATGGGTAACCAATTGGCTACAAAGATGACATGAATCAGTTAAGACCAAATCAATAGTTGAGGGATTTCTTGCAGAAGAAAAGCATGTTGGGCTGTTTGGATATTGAATAGTGCCTGCAGAACAATCATCAAACAGAATATTACCATTGGAATTGCTTTGAGCATTATTCCATGAGCGGTGTTTTGCATTAAAATCACCAATAATGAAGAATTTAGACCTATGACGGGTAAGTTTCTGAAGGTCACCCTTGAGAAAATTCTTTTGCTGGCCTACGCATTACAATGGCAAATAGGCAGCTATAAACGTAAGTTGTCCAAATTTTGTTTCAAAAGAAACTCCCAAAGTTTCAAAAACTTTGGTTTCAAATGAAGAAAGTATTTTGTGTTTGATTCGTCTATGAATAATGATGGCAACGCCACCACAGGGTCCATCAAGACGATCATTTCTATAAATTAAATAATTTGAGTCCTTCTTAACCTTATGGCCAGGTTTAAGGAACGTTTCAGTT